TGCAAAAAAACCGAACGCCGAGGTCACACCCGCATTCAAAATTCAACATGCAAGGGTGAAACCCACATCTCAAGTTCAAAATGCAGGGTCCACCCCCATATTCCAGAAGTAGGATTATGGCGCATACCTTCACACAGGTCCTGCATGGAAAATCCCTTCAACCAAGCTACCTTCGAAGCGAGCGCAGAGAACAACTCCTTTGTGACAAGGAATCAACAGCTCCAAGATCAGAGTTGAGATCCAAAGTATTCCGAAAATTCGTCCCAGTCAACCGCGAACTTTCGAAAACTTTGGAGGGGGTTCTGTAGGCTGTCTAAAAATCACATTAGATAGTTGATCCCCCATCAAACACCAATGATGGAAGTTACAATTTGACGACTTCCAGAAGGCTACAATTTGAGGACTTTCACGTAGAAGGTTACAATCTGACGACCTTCACGATAACTAATGAAAGCCCTAATGCAACAGCCTTCACAATCAACATCGAGAGTTACAATCTGATGACTCTCGTATTTTCAAGGAGCCAAGACGAAGATTACAAGAGGACGATCTGTGCAAAGCTCTAGCAAAAGAGACTACAAATTGACGGTCTCTTCATATTAGAATGCAGATATCTCTCAAACCGTAAGGAATTTGGCAAAACGGAGGAAGCGAACCGAAGCCTTCGGCTAGGTTCGGAATTTGGCAAAATGGAGGAAGCGAACCGAAGCCTTTGGCTCGGTTCGGATGGCCCCGTATCGTCGAGATAGCCGATTTTCATATGTAATTCGTCCAATTCCGACGTACGGTTTGAAAGTTATGACCTGTTCTTCGTAGCAAGCTGTGTTCTGAAGTCCGTCTGCAAGACTGGACTTCATCAGAACATTGGACTTAGCCTGAAGCCCGCCAAGCCCGCCTAAGGTTCGCCTCTGCATTACAGAGTCAAAGCGCACATGCTCAACTCTGCGTTTTCAACATCAAAACGCAGAGTTAATCGCTAAAACAGCACAACTGCGCGTTTTCAGCCTTTAAACAGGCTCAACTCTGCGTTTTCAATCTAGAAACGCAGAGTTAATCTCTAAAACAGCACAACTGTGCATTTTCAGCCTTTAAACAGGCTCAACTCTGCGTTTTCAGTCTAGAAACGCAGAGTTAATCTCTAAAACAGCACAACTGTGCGTTTTCAGCCTTTAAACAGGCTCAACTCTGCGTTTTCAGTCTAAAACGCAGAGTTCATCTCTAAAACAGCACAACTGTGCGTTTACGGCCCAACTGTGCGTTTAATTTTTCCCCACGATTTGAGGGATTTCCGCCCCACTTAGGAGCGGATTAAGGGGGTAGTTACCACCCTTAATCCCCTATAAATACCAGAAACTCAATTGAGTTGAGGGATCGAATTTTTTCTCATCAACAAAGGGAGATTCGGTCAAAAGGCTGGCATTTATTTTTGGATCTGGGACTTGGCAGCAACAGAGAGCTTTGGAGATCAACGACTTGAAGGAGCTCTTGAATCATTTTGGAAGGCTTTTAATTGAAGCCTTTGAAATTATTCGGCCTTGGCTTATAACCGACTTTCGGTTCAAATCAACTCTTTTTCAAGAGTTCAAACTCGTTCAGAGTTATCAACTCGATCAGAGTTCAAAACTTGCTCTGCAAGTTCTTCTAAAACTCGTCAGAGTTATCAACTCGATCAGAGTTCAAAACTTGCTCTGCAAGTTCTTCTAAAACTCGTTCAGAGTTATCAACTCGTCAAGAGTTATTTTCAAACTTGCCACGCAAGTTCTCCACAGCGTCAAATCGTGAGGAGAAGACATCGTTCCAGTGAATCAAGACGTTCGGATCGTCAACGAGAAGCAAACTCGACGCGAGCATTCGAGGGAGGCATCTCATCGCCACCGTGAAGAACCCAGAATTAAACAAAGGGGAGAATCAAATTCGTTCTCCTCTCTTTTGTAATCGGAATCCAAATTGTAATCGATTTTGAGAGAAATACAAGTCAAATTTTTCTTTTACTGTCTTTTTACTGCAAATTTCCAACAAACATTGACGAGGTGCAGCATAGAAGATCTTTCTCTCTCAGATTCAGGAGTTGGTTAGTATACCATAGGCGAGTAACATCTCACCTAGCCCTACACCCACTGTTTGTATAGTATTATTTGGTTTTATTTCGGTTTTATTGAGCCTAAATTACTATTTGCGTATAAAAATAGATCTTTATAGCATATGATGCGAAAATCGAATGTTTTTAGTTTATAAAAGCTCACAAACGAATTTATAAATTAAGATCCAGATCTGGAATTTGTTTAAACATGATTTTTATTGTGATTTAATGGTTTCAATACGTTTTTATACATGAGGAAATATGTTTAGGGTTTTAATGCAAAATATTACATGCAAATCTTTCATTTCTGTTGATATACATGTGTTAGAATCGAATATATATTGCTGGACATGATCAAAGAGAACACTAGTTTTATAAATTTTTACAGAAAATTTTTAAAAACAGAAAACTGGGGATTTTTTGCTCAGTCGACCAATGAGTCGACTCATGAGTCGACTTATGAGTCGACTAATGAGTCGATCAATGAGTCGACTGATGGGGAAAACTTCAGTTTGTGTTTTGTTGGTCGACCAATGAGTCGACCAATCATAGTCGACTCATGGGTCGACTGATGAGGAGATTTTTAGTATTTCTTCAGTTTGGATCTGTTTGAGTTTCCTTTTTAGTTTCACTGAAACTGTATATGTTTGTTTATTGTTGTTGCGTGCTATAATATGAACGAGAAGTCACCTCGAATGATGAGTATTAGAGGTTTATTATAACATGTATCATTATATGTGAGATGACATACGGACACGAGTTTAGGTTTGCGCACCGAGACACGTGAGAAAATGGGGTATGTGCACATGTTCATATATTTCATCTAGTCCATGTGTTGGGCAATTATGATGTGTAGTTCATGTGTTGGACATTTATCACATTCAGTCCATGTGTTGGACAGTTTTCATATGCAGTCCATGTGTTGGACACCCATTACATCAGTTTAGACCTTAAGAGTTTACACTGACACTTACATAGGCTGGACACGACATTTATATGAGTTGTGACACGACACCGTAATTAAGTCTGAGATTAGTTTGCCTTCTTTTATTAATGTTTCTTGTATTAGATTCTGGGTTTGGTATTTAGGGATGTATAATTTGAGATACAAGGTATATACATGAGGGTTTCCTTGTTTGGATTATTTCGTTCGACATACCTATGCTCGTGTTGTAACTTCCTAAATACTAAAATCCTCTTATACATAGGTACTTACAATCTGAGCTACATGGTATATACATGAGGTTTTCCTTGTTTGGATTATTTCGCTCGACGTACTTATGCTCACATTGTAATTACCTAAATAGGATTTGTGATTTTATATATATGTTATAACTGTATTTTTTGTATACAACGAGCTCTTTTCCCTTGGGTTTGGTTGTGATGTTGCTCGCTAGCGCTTTGACGCTCGTTGTCCCTCCCCCTTTCAGGTAACGAGTTAGGAGCCCGGAGAGTCGCAGGTTGATGGCGAGGCACTTTAGCTTTAGCTATTCTATTATAGTTATATTTTACTTTTGAGCTCCTTTGTAGGCTTTGTTTAGACATTTTGAAAGTTTATTTCTAGAAGTTGTAAAGGCTGTGTACCTTATTTCCTCTTTTTCAGACTTTAAGTATTTGAGACTTGTTGGAACTTCAGTATTTTCATTTCAGGCATTGAGTTCTATTTCAGTACGTTGGATGATGAAATATCTATTTGATCTCTATCATTTCATCAGTTATCTCTTGTATTTATCTTCTACTTGTTTTGTACCTACATCTGTTATTGACCCTACTAGAGAGATAGTAATTGTGATGGTGAAATATGTTATTGCACAGTGTGGTGCATGGCAGGTTTGACTGATGGTGAAATATGTTATTGCACAGTGTGGTGCATGGCAGGTTTGACATTCTTGGTTTCACCTTGGACTGTAGCCTTGTGTGAACCCAGGGGCATGGCAGGTTTGACATTCTTGGTTTCACCTTGGACTGTAGCCTTGTGTGAACCCAGGGGCGTCACAGTGTTCTATATGTTAACAAATACCCTTCATATAGAAAATTCTGAATCATTTATGGAGTGAAAATTGAAGAATCTTCCACTGCATGGTTCGATGAATGTGAAATAATTATTTTCTCAATTATGGGCTCTGGCCAACCTGTTCTTTACCTACATCATGTAAAAAGCTTCGCTACACATGCTTGCTGATGCAACTAAACAAGTGGTGTCAACAACATTGGAGGTAGTAAATTGATGATTCTTTGTATGGTTTTAGATATTATTTGTGTTTCAGATATTATGTTTTATATGATTTTCAGCTTGTATATATTGTATCTGCAAGTATACATTGTATCAGGTTATTCAGGTTATGTGGTTTTAAATAGTATTTGTAAGGTTTTCAAGCTGTCATGATTGTATGAATCTTTTAAGGTTTTAGTTATTATTGGTGAAAGTTTGAAGGATGAATATGGAGGAAAATATAGCTCTTTATACTGAAGTGTAGCACCTTTTTGTAAAAGTACATATCTTTATTCCGAAGTATAGCTCTTCGCAACCATAGTATAGCTCTTTATCGATAAAATATAACTCTTTATGTTTTCTAAAAAATCTGAAACTTAGTGATGATGTATACAATATGTTGTTCGATAATGTATTCATGTTTACCAATTTACCATAGTATAACTCTTTATCGATAAAATATAACTCTTTCCGAAGTACATATTTTTAAATCAGTTTTTTTCTGAGCAATGTAAACGCGTGATGATGTATACAATATGCTGTTCGATAATGTATTCATGTTGACGAAAGGTCCACTCTCAAATTTTCAATTTTTTAAAAAAATATAGCTCTTAATATTAAAGTGTACCACTTTTTTATGAAAGTATAGCTTTTATTCCAAAGTATATCGCTTTAAGTCCAACTCATCCTTTATTTATCCATGTGAACATGAACAGTGAAACCAACAATATTCGTTCTTTTAATACCGCCTCGTATAATATATTCAGCACGCCCNTCCTTAGTTCATCAATCCCCACATGGAGCTCCGTAAGTCCAAACAAAACAAAACCCATCAATTTAATCTCCATCTAATCCCAGTTTCTTCGATAAAAAACCCATCTTGTGTTCATCCTAGGGATCGATTCCATTTTTTTATTTTTATTTTTTGATTCAGGTGATGGTCCTGTTCTCCTACTTGGGCTACTTGGCATTGGCGGGGTCTATTCTCCCCGGCAAGATCGTCCCTGGTGCCGTGCTCTCTGATGGCACTCGCCTCCATTATAGATGCAATGGTGACCCATTTCATTTCATTTTATTTTATTTTATTGCCATTTTGTGCTCTATTTTTGATGATAAGCTGACCCTTTTTTTCTTCTTTGGGTGTTTTGTTCTTAGGATTATTATCACTTCTCGTCTTGTTGGCACTTCTAGGGGTCGGTGTTCAAATGAAGTTGATCTCTCCTACGGTATATATTATATACTCCCTTTAATCTCTGTGTGCAGAGAACTATATATGTACATCTGGAACTATTTCAGTAGTTAGTATATTAGAATCTGAGAAGATTATAATTTGCATTCTTCAAAATTTTATCCTTCATGGAAGTACGCTCTTCGAATTTGGAAAAGTTCTACTTTGCACTTCTCAAATTTAGTATATTGGTAAATCGATCTGTATTAGTTTATACACAAGATGAGCTTCTCGGTATCTGCTAAGTGGGAGCAGGAAAAACTCTGAATAAACGTTTGCTACGGATACGATTGGCCTGTTGTAGCATTCATTTGTTTATGCATTCAACCACTGGCCGCAAAGTTAAAGTCTGCTAGTGGCTAGCACATATATATTTGGATGAGTAAACTTGCAGTAAAAAGATGCAAGTTTAGTCTCAAAAATTACAAAGAATATACATGATGATAGACAGAAATATTTCTTTCCAATGTTGACATGCTTCTTATATTCTCAATGTAGAGAACATAAATTATTCTATGAGCAGGCATATTCTAATTGAATAGTTTAAATTTAGAAAGTAGAAACATAATATATTCTTCTAGTACGACGTAGAAACATAATATAACATGTACTAGCTACTAAATGAAATAAATGGGAGGCCCAAACAATTCCCTAACCAGTTGATATTCCTCCATAGGGCCGTATATGAGCTGATACAGTTTTTCCCCATCAACAGTGGGGTCAACAACATAAAGGGTTGTTACTAGGTGCTGAAACTTTATTGTCTGAGTTTTTTTCTTTACCTATATGCTGGTTACATATGAACTGGACTGACTTAGGCCAACATTAAATATGCCTTTCACTATCTCTATTCTATTCATATTAAACAAGCTATATCATACATTCATTTTTTCAAGTCATGCCTTTTCTTCATAACCCAAAATTTGCCTGCTGTATATGTGATACTGGTTTCATGAATACAAGTTTGTTTATCTGTCTATTTTAATAAAGTGACATTATATTTATGTACAATCATAGGTCATAGCAGACAAAGGACTTGAGCTTCTATCAGTTACTTTCATATTCAGCATCCTGGTAAGCTTTGTTCTTTAGAATTTAATATGAAGTGGCGTTGTGATCAACTAATATCCCTATGTGGATTTTGGGTTGCTAATATCTGAATTGCTTTTGGAAAACCTTTTTTTAATAGACATGGACTATAAGTAGAAGATGGTGAAGATGGTGTGTTGTTACTATCATATTCTTCTTTACATCGTAGACACCACAGTCTTGCACATATATCATGATAGATAATCTGTAGCATCCGGTCTACTACGATACTTGTCTCTAATAAAGGTCCAAAGGATCCAATCATCCAAATATGAACTTTCTGCTAATTGTGTATCCTGAATCATCTTTTCCATCTCTACACTTACTGATTAATGTGACCTCACATCCAACTAAAAAGAGTTCAAAGGAGAAAAAGCTAGAGAGGGGCATAGGAATGAAAATTTTGTTCAGAACTTCTGTCTGATATAGAAACTAAATATGAAAATGGAGTTGCCAATCAATTGACACTATTGGCCTGCTTTGCTATGAGTTCTTAACCGTGTTCTGAGCTAGTTGGATCACTAGGAGAATTGCGTTGTTTCTCTGCTGGGGTTATATTTCTATTAGCTGTCCCTTGAAACCATAACACGCAGTTTGATACCAACTAAAAAATGTAAATGAAATACTTGTTGCTTTCTACTGCATGAAAATCATAAAATAAATTGTTCTTGTAAGATACTAGCAACTAACCAAAATTTGTCTTATGACCATATTGTATTTCCTGGGCAAACACATGTTACACATACATTTGAGTATAATCATTTGTACATTGATAATATTAATGATAGTAAACAGAACATAGTACAAATTACAAAAAGTAACATGATAGAAAAAAAGTGCATGGTTTTGCTACTAGAGATCCCCACAAAGACGAGTTATATTTTCTGAAAGAATCCATTCCTTAGTGAAAGGGCACACAAAAGGCGACATTACTACATAAGAGTCCTATAATATCAATGTTGGCAATGTTGGAAATATTATGCAAAGAAAAGTAGTTGTTAAGCAAATACTCCAAAGCTTTTGAAGTTTAACTTCATTGCCTTCATTGAAGGGGACCATAGATAAGAACTATATTTTTGAGCATCCTCATTACCTTCTAATGTCCGATTTATTCATATTTCTCTCAGGTATCTCTGGTGCTTTATGTTGCTGGTTGCAAGTCTAATGACAAAAGTTCCTCCTTCAAACCTCATGTGACAGGGAACATGCTTGATGATTGGTATGAAGTCTCTGTTCTCATATTGTCTGGTAACTTGAGAGTTTGTTATCATGGAAATTTTCTTTTGAAAAAAGGTGTAAAGTGGAAACACATGATTTGCTTTTGTCAAGAAAAGTTGTTAAAGAGATAGTAGAAATACGAGATAGTAGAAATACGCTATTCATAATTTGTTAATTTTAATAGTGGTTCCTACTCACTACTTATAAATGTAAAATTCTATACTAGTATTGAGAATTTGTAGACTGTTGTATACATGTGTTTGAACGCCTATGATCTACATGAATTCAGTCTCCATCAACTTCTTCAGCTCTGCAGTGTCAATGTTTACTTACCGTAGCAACAGTACTTATCAGTTACTATTGTAATAAATATAAGGTTAGTCAGTGTCCTAGGATATTTTAGTTAGTTTTTAGATAATGATCCGTTCTTATTTTTTAATCATTGTGAATCTTTTTTTAGATAATGTCTAATGACAAAGATAAACCTTTAGTTTGCTAACTTTTAGGAAAAGGCTTTTTGGATCTCAGTTGACTTTTACTTGTTAAAACAGTGCAAGCATCCTCTTATAATAACATGAAGTGACTAGTTTTCTAGATATTTTTGTTTTTTCGCACATTCTTGGAAAATCAAGATAATTTACGAATATGCGACATGTACAGTTGAAAACCTTAAATGTTGTATTGCCTTCCTGCCACTTATGAGGTTCAGTACTTGCTAAGCAAGCATCTGTCATATTCATTTTAAAAGGTGAAAATATTATGGCTTCTTGTAAATTCTTATGTCATTGTTATGTCTTATAGGTGGTTGGGAGTACAGCTGAATCCTCGATTTATGGGAATAGACCTCAAGTATGTGCACAGTTTTCAATATTTTAGCACTCCTGTTGCTGTTTCCTTGTTTCTATCCACATTGAAATCACATGTTCCACATCTTGTATTGAACTTCAGTCATTTTTGTTATTTCACTCTTTTTCTTTTCTTGTTGCCTTTTTTTTGCAGATTCTTTTTTGTCAGAGCTGGAATGATGGCATGGTTATTCATCAATCTCTCTTTATTCGCGAAGCTCTATCAAGCCGGCAATGCAAACCTTTCAGTCATTCTTTACCAGCTCTTTTGTGGGGTATGCTCAATGAGATATCTTTTAAATCAAGTATCGGACAGCAGTACTAATGCTTGCAATTTTTTGTGTAGCTGTACGTTATAGATTACTTCTTCTATGAAGAGTTCATGACCTCCACGTAAGTAACCTTACAAGCCCCTGGAAAGGTCTTCTAACAGCTGTTAAGATATATCATGCTAACCTTATAAGCTCTCTGAAAAGGTCTTCTCATAGCTGTTAAGATATATCATGCTAGTGTTCGCTATAAATTATCGTTCACTCCTTGTGCACATGCCGATACATTTTAGTTTTCAGTGCCTACTATTAGAAAATCATTGCTTAACAAGGAAAATATGCTGTTTTTTTGTTACAAATTTGTCAAATGTACCAATGTGCATTTATCAGAACTAAATAGGAAAGTGAAAATTGCAAAATACTTGTAGGGTCTCAGTCTATTAAGTTGATGTTTTTCAATATCATATTTTTATTTCAAGAGCTGCCATATACATTACTGTTCATGTTACTTAATTTGATCATGATTAAATTCACTATTATAATGGTTCTGTATTATTTTTAGGTGGGACATTATAGCTGAGAGGCTGGGCTTCATGCTGGTTTTCGGGGATCTGGTTTTTATTCCTTTCACGTTTACAATTCAGGCATGATATGGTCCATTTTCATCAGACCCTTTGTTTGACGTACTGATAATATATCAAATCTATTATGCCTATCTAGTACATTACGATGTTTAGGCAAAATAACTACTTGACTAAAAATTCACCACTACAAAAACCTGAATCAGTTGACCAATAGTTAAACTTATATTCTCAAATAACATTTCTTGTTTGTATAAATACTTTTAGTTTTCTCAAATTCTTATTTATTGAATTGGTTAGAATATTGTTGCCAAAAGAACATCAAATGGTTTGGGTAAGGATAACCATTAACTTGTTTCATGTGATGGTCTTCATGCTTTACTTCCTGATATAGCTTGTTTCATGTGATCTTCTTCTTGTCGTTTATGTTATCCATGATCATGCACTTACGAATTTCTATCTTCTATCCAGGGTTGGTGGCTTCTGAAACATAAAGTTGAAATATCAAAATTAGCTGCTGCAGTTAGTTGCCTGGTTTTCTTCATCGGGTATGAGATTTTTTTCTCTTTTATACACACGTAAACTTCATAGCTATACAAAACCCTCTGAACTAATGGAAATTGTCATAATTGACGCAAATGTGAAGGTAAAAAACCTAAACTTTCCGGGTTACTATCTACATGCCTTCCCCGAAAACCTCTCCTTCAGTACAATTTACAAGTACATAAGCACAAAATTGCTCACTATATGTGCAAAGCACATGTCAAGTTAAACTAAGTGACAAGTTCAGGGGGTTTCCTCTGATTGATATACTGTTTATCTTTATTTTATTTTATTTTTTAGGGACACAAAAACACCCAAAGTTCATTGGGGATTGTATGAAATTTCCTTTAGAAAAGATTCCTAATACACCGAACTTTGCATGAATCACGCAGCTATCAAGTATTCCGTGGAGCCAACAAACAAAAGCATGTATTCAAAAAAAATCCTAAAGCTCACATATGGGGCAAGCCTCCAAAAGTCATTGGAGGAAAGCTACTTGCTTCTGGTTACTGGTAAGCTTTCTGATAATTCTTATCAAATTGGTAAAATTACTGTTCTTTAAATATATTCAAGAACCACCACCTTTTATCTGGCAGGGGAATTGCAAGGCACTGTAATTATCTTGGAGATTTGCTCTTAGCACTCTCATTCAGTTTGCCTTGTGGAACAAGGTACTTTTTTGGGTTAATTGCACATAGCTACCTGTAGTATTGATGTTTTGCACTTATTACCCCTGTAGTTCCATTGTTGCAGATAGACACCCTGTTTTTTTTTATTTTTTTTTATTTTTTTATTTTTGACTCATTTACCCTTAGATAAACTCGCTAATGGAGGGGCAATATCTGCCAACATTTTTCCAAGGGTAAGATAGTAAAAAAAAATTAACCTGGTGGTCTATCTGCAACAATGAAACTACAGGGTACTAAGTGAAAAACAAATGATAATTCTGGGGGTGTATACACAATTACCTTTATATATGTTATTGTTCTCAATATGTTGATGATTTTGTGTAATCGCTTGTTAATGTGTTGTTTATTTTTACAGTTCTGTGATCCCCTACTTCTATCCTATATATCTTCTTATACTTCTTATATGGAGGGAGAGAAGAGACGACACAAGGTGCTCTGAGAAGTACAAAGAGATATGGGAAGAATATTGCAAGCTTGTTCCTTGGAGAATACTTCCATTTGTTTACTAAAAGAGAGGATTTCTTTTTCCTCCCAAATTTGTATTGTGTTGTACCCAGCAAATGGATAGATGAGGCACTTTAACATTTCCTATATTTAGAGTGGAAAAATAAAAGGATGGTTAAATTTTGATTTGGTGCTTGCCTATGCGATAGGACTCTCTGTATTCGGAAAAATGTTTAATTGATGATATGAAGGCCTATGTTTGTCTGAGTGGGGATTTTTGGTTACATAGATGATTTAACTGCTCTCCCTAAGTTTTCCAGATGACCGTTCGGTTTAGATAAAAGTGTCTCACTGAAGGATCCTTGAAAGTTAATTATTGATAATTCCCAAATTTTATGCATGATATAATTTATATCCGGAACAATTATGCAGCTATACCAAATATTTGAAGGCTTAACAAAACGTGAGGCCTCCAAGCTACTGAGCCTTTAAGAAAAGAAAAAAAAAAGTATTTGCAAGCAAGTACTTAATTTTAATATTAAGACTACCTGGGCATCATCCTACAATTACTGGATGTCCTCCATTTCCAAAGATTGACATACCTTCGCTATCCAGATATATTCTGAGCCACACACGAGAACATCTTTGTTGTACGACATGTACATTAAAGTCTGCCCGGCATTGTGATACGTTAAGCAAAACAAGGAAGTCAATTCAGTAAACAACATATTTGAATTTCCATCAAGGCAATTCGCCCAAAGTAGAAAAGAAACATGAGGAGATAATTGATCAACGTTATGCATTTAGGCATAGAATAATAAAATATTGAACAATCAAGTATTCAACTGATACACTTTCAAGATATTTCAACAAAGCCCAATTTTGATAAAACTGCTGAGCAAACATGTTACAACTCTCACTGGGTCAACCTCCAGACTATCTTCAGCTACATTTCTGAATCTTAAGACAACTTTATAAATAGTAACACCTTTAAGTAACTCAAGAAAATAAAAGACCAGCCTTTCTAGCAAAATCATCCTCATCATCCAATTCATCATCTTCTTCCTCTCCTTGGCTTTCATATTCTGTTTTATAATCTCCACCCACAGTTGCCTCATACTCATACTCGCCGTCTCTCTGCTCAAAGTTTTGCAATCCTTCATCTTCCATGGCATCAACGTCCATGTGATCTTTGGCTGAGGAGTCTCCGTCATAAGTTATTAGTTCATCGTCTCTTGAAGGAGTTGAATCCTTCTCATCTTCAACTGTTTCAACTTTAGGCTGCGGTTGCTTATTTGTTACAGGGTCACAATCACTTACTTGTGGAACTCCATTTCTCTGATTATTTTCATCCGCATTGCAGGTATCTACACTGTCCAAGGGTACATCTTCTCTTTTCCTCTTGAGAAGAACACTCAGAGGTTTCGGTCCTTCGAATGAAGGAGAATCTTCATTATTCTGTACCTTGGTTGTCTGCTCTTGTGAGCTCTTGACCAGCTTTGCCCCTTTTAGCTCTGCTAGACTCTTCGGACCATTGAAGTTCAACGAATCAACATCCTCTCTCTTGCTCAGCCTGCCTCCTAAGTTTCTCAAAGGAGGGTCTTCACTTAGCCTTCTTGTTCTTTCATTTTGCCTCACTTGGTTACTAACTGATGCCCTAGTTGGCGACAATCTGCCTCGGTTTCTAGAAACATCTCTCTGCTCAGACTGCAAGCTGAAAGAGTCTCCTGATGATGCTGCAGGAAGAGTAATCCTACCTCGAAGACGAGAGCTTACAGAGGTTTCAAGAGGAACCTGCAACTGATTCCTGTGAGAATGATGGCCATAATCTCTCTCTTTTTCCTCCACATAGTGATCGCTCCTGATGGCTGATCTAGAAGAATCAAGCTTTCTTTGTTTCAACCGATGTCGTAGATCAGCTCTATCCACTTCATTAGGGCTCTTGGGCTTCTGAAGCACCCTTCTTTCAGGCAACTGCGATCTTTCTAAGCTCCTCTCAGATAAAATCTTGTGTGGTCTTGGGTTGCGGTAGTCTTGAATCCTTCCATTCTGTCCACTATATTTATCTACCGACCTTCTACATTGGTTTCTCTCAAAGATGTTGACGGGTTTGTAATCAGAAGAGCAATGCTGATAATCATTTAGAGCGGATTTTCTTCCAAATTCGCTGGCTTTCGTGCTATTGACAACATGAGCATCAAATACTGAAGAATGTTCGCCAACTATCTCACCAGGCTCCAGATCATTCTGAAGGTGTTCATCTAAGGAATGAATCTGATGGTTCTGGGACCTGCTCCAAGCATTGCTGTTTATGACAGGAGCATGTGCTGGCTGCGAGTTTGATAAGAAATTCTTCGCATGTGTAACACCATTTGAAGATTGCAGCTCATTTCTGATAACAGGTTTTGTTGATGAAACTGGTGCTTTCAGTTTTATATCAGCACTCACTTTTGGAATGCTTTGTTTATTACTACACTGCTTGATGCTCCAAGATTCATATTTTAATGTGGCCTGTGGCTGTTCTGAGAATGAGGGAGAAGCCTTTGCTAATTGCTGTGAAACAACATCACCATTTGCCTGCGTTTCATGCGAGAAAGGGCAAATCTCGCCCTTTAAACAGTGGCCCTTTTGAAAAAAAATGCATTGCTGACTTCGGCTTTGCTTATTCAAACTATAAGGAGGAGCATGCACCACAGGAATCTGCTTTGATGGTACTGTTGGTATGGAGGGCAGGGTAGGTCCTGAACCTGGAGATCCAAACAAACCAGCAAGTGGCTGTGAAAGAAAAAAAAAAGGTAACATTAGCATTTCTGATAAAAGAGTAAATTTTTAAGAAAATGACAACGGCAATACAAAGTCCATTAGATCAGCAAAACTATCTAGCCATTTTTATTTTATAAAAATGATCTTAAAAACTTTGTTTATTCATATTCGAGTTATCTAAACATCAAAAGAATTGCAGTTAGATAAAATCCACACTTTTCACCATATAAAAGCGTGTCTACAAGCATAAGTAACATTATCCAGATAAAAGTTTCCAGTGTATCAAATTTAGAAGCAAGCAAACAACCATAACATCTCAAAAAAGGTAAAAACCAGCATTCCTTGCACATGAAATTGAGCTCATTCCCTAATTTTTTTTTGTGATCCGCTCCTATGAACTTGATCTACACGTTCTTAAACCCAAAGACACCAATTTTGGGGTGAACCCGTCGTGTTTTGACCCTTCGTTGAGCCGTGCAAAAAGTTGTATTCATTCGAAAACGTTAAAATTGCGGTGAGTGGATGAAGGATCAAAACACGACGGGTTCACCCCAAAGTTGGTGTGCTTGGGTTTAAGAACGTGTAGATCAAGTTCATCGGAGCGGATCACAAAAAAAAATAGGGAATGATGTGATTTTAGACCGCGTCCTTAGGTGGGAATCTAAGGTGTCACCTTAGGAAAACATTACCCATATATATGCTTGGTAGTGAGGTGTCACATTCTCCTCCACTCATTGAAATCGGGGCCCACACTCACATGGGTTGAGGAGTTGTTGGGAATGGCAATGAGTGGATGAGAATGAGACACCTCACTACCAAACACCAAATTTGTGCTTGGTACCAAGCATACCCATTTTTCTCTATATATATATATCAAGAGAAGAAAGACTCACCGGATGCCGAAATGCACACTTAGGATTCAAGCAGTTGCTATTCAACCAATAGTAACAATCTCTGGGGTTAAGCCTGGCACCCTCACTGTGACGATACTCACATTCATTTCCCTGTAACAAGGAAAGATATGTCAGTTTGAATGACAAGGCAGGTTATATAAACAGGAAACAGTATCTTTTAAATGAAAACAATCAAGGCCTAATAAGTACTCTGAAAAGAAAAGGAAGGAAAAAAATGAATATTATATCAAGAGATACTTAGCGAATTAGTAGTTAGGTATATATTGATAAAGTTTGGAATTTTACATGAAAATAATGACGATATGGTCAATGAAAACTGACTAATTTCCTCAATATTATGGCTAAACCAATCATTTATTGACAACCATCAGGTCTTTCAACTCTACATTTGAAGAAAAATGTAGAGTGTGTCCAAGATTTGCAAGCCTATATATCGTACAAGGCTTCACAGAGAGGTCGCTTGACGCGAGTTGATATCTAGTGATGTGTCAACATCATAAAGGGGACCATTATGTAAATAAAGTATGTGCGAGAATTCATAGCATACAACCTTACGTTAATTGAGATAGATTTGCATGACTTAACTCACTGCTTTAGCCTCCATTTGCAAACAACCCGGTAAGATGACCAGCAAGCATCAAATAATTTGAATGTTCAAACACACGAAGTTCAACATTTTACAAAATGAGATCATTCTCAGCCAAATCCCTCATTTATAAAAATTATAGAACTCCACATGTACTGATATATTTTTCCTCTTTCTTTTCCAAAATATAAATTGAACTCTAAACCAATGGCAATAAAGGACATGCCAACACAACAAAGACTCTACACTACGATGTATTCTGGTAACACCTAATGGGAAACAGATACAACATGCAAGAAGTAAATGTTTCTCGCTAATATTGTTTAGAAAATGTTGTCTCTTTTCCTAATTTAGTCTTCTCAAGATGGAAATAATCACTAGAGAATCCATCAAAATTATCCTTAACAAATCAAGCAAAAAATCTAAGATAGGAAAGGTATAATGGTCGGCAATGCTCACAATTCATAACTCATAAGATCGTCTAAACAGAAAAAGCAAGTGCCTCGATGGCGAGCTCTTCCCTCGCAAGAACAAGCATTCCAAAAGAAGGCCTAGAAATGAAAATCTTAATAAACCCCAAACCATATCAAGCACCATTAGGAAGACGAGCATTTATTAAAACATATCTATCTCATATACTAAAACAAAGCTCCTGGAGTACACGTGGCAAATTTTTAGGCATTAGACTGTTAATATTCCATATAGATACACTTTTAATCCTATAATTATCTATCCTATAATGCTAAAATAAGCCCATGCTTGCACACACCTATTAAACTTCTCTAGGACTGTCCGTTTAACTTCTCTATTTGTTTTTGTGATTGACACAATTTCAGTTTCATTCCAATTAACGACTCATTTATTTCATTTTTCTTTCTTCCATTCAATAGACTCATTTATCTCTTCACATAGCAGATTTTTTTTTTCTAAACCAGAGAAGCATGGTCATATATGGAAACAAAAATACAAAACAGTGTCTCCCGAGGGTTGTAAGACTCTTACAAAACCCAACCCAAGGTAGAAATGCCAGCACATGGACATGACCGGCCCCTTGCAGATAAACACAAAATGATATGCTAACATATTAGCATAACCCCAAAATACATCAATGAGAGACCCTGACAAAAAATGTGTCCCTTGGCATCAAGGGAAATAAGTTTCTAACACCCATAGGAACATCTTCAAATTTACAGTCTTTAATTTTCTATTATTGCAGTCTCTCGTTAATGTCATCAACCGAACTGTCGACCATTATACCTTTCGTAAATTGAAGTCATTAATTGTTTCTTGATGGCATCAACGGCATTGGATTATATTTAATTTTCTATTATTGCGTTTGATGACTTTAGTACACATTCGTAAGCTAACAAAATTTAATTATAAAATATTCCATCAAACTTATATAGTCTCTTACAACTACATAATGTTAGAAGATTTTTTATTCTTAAAATACACATTTATTTATTTCTATAAGATAAATATGCTAAATGACATTTCATATCCGCTTCTTCACATGGTATTTTCAACAAAAAAAAGAAAAGAAAAAGAAAAAAGAAAAAGAATTAGCAATTCCTTTTTTAATAAATAGTCATATTTAAAATTCATTTTATCATTTTGGTAAAAGATATACTAAAAAAATCCGACAGCATTGCGCGTGCATAGCACTAGTTCTCTAATAAAAGAAACCTCGTTCCCGCCAGAAATGCATGCATGGGCTACACACGAACCCTATAAAGTCAAAGCTCAACATGCATCCTTTACCTCCTCCCTTTCCTTCATATCAGTCACCATATGCACTGTTTTAAACCTTTCAGCAAGCAATCCCTCCTAAATCTCTCTATCTCTTCCACTTTCTCTATCCCCAAATTGCAAAACCCTAGACACATCTCCAACTCCTGTCGTGCAGGATTGATCGAAATACTGAATTTCAAGCTAGAGATTTCACAAAGACTAAAATTTTTTCACCGATTAAGAGAAAAGATTCTGAAAGCCTCAAAGAGGCACCTAAATAGAACTGCAAGTTTTACAAGAAGGCATACACCGTAATGCCCTTTTCCACAATGCTGGCGATTTTTGGACTTAAAAACGGTAAAGATCACTCCCTTTTTGAAAAAGATTACAACTTTGAAGGCAACCAAGCTAGAGATTTCACATTAAGCTGACATCCCTAACTAATCAAATTATTATCCACCCCATAATTCCAAGAATCCAAGAACAAGGTCAAACTAACAAGCAGAAGATAACAATTCAAGATCCATCAAATATAAAACTTTTAAATTTAAAAAATTAGAGAAAAAATAAAGAAAAATTACCTTCTTGCAGGTCAATGGAGACGCAAGAAAGTAAACGCAATCGGTGTTTTTCTTCAACGCCTCCTCCTCCGCCGTCGGAACGCCACCCGAATCCATC